CCCCCAATAGATCATAGTTCATTGGCTGTCTGATATGTAACTACTGATGACTGACCTGGAAGCTGTACCGAGGGCTGTGACCCACGCTTGTCAAACGGCCTTGAATATTGAATAGTAACAGGGGGTTCTTTCTGGTCACAATAAAGTACAATGCTGACTTACCTGGAAGCAGTACCGAGGGCTGTGACCCACGCCTGTAGAACGGCCTTGAATAGTAACAGGGGGTTCTTCCTGGTCACAATAAAGTACAATGCTGGCAGGGTGATGACCGCATGGATGAACAGACCAGTCAGCACCGTCACCATGTACATGCCCAGTCTGGCCCCTACTGCCCCCGGGTCATCGATGTACAGGATTTTACCGATGATCAGGAACATGATACCAATAGGAGAATACCTGCAAACATAAAGTTTCTATTAGTACCCTCAAACACGAAGGTGGAATACCTATAAACAACATTTTTTTATACGAAGTACCAGATCACTTTTAGTGAATTTCATGACTTTTTTTATTCAAGCACACTGGCTGAACTTCTGCTTCTGAATTAACTGGGAAATTTATTGTCTTGAAACATTTTAAAGGTGTATCTAAAAACAAAATGACTCTTTATGTAATACTTGGAAACAAAAAGAAAATCATATACAAATGTATAGCATTTTATTTCCATTTCAAAAAATCTTATTGTAGAAATATGTATACAGATTGAGTAGATAAATGGCAAAGGCTACAGAGATCTTCACCATATGGAATATTTGGAAACACAAAAGATCATAATAAGAATTCCTTGAATCAAGACACTTGTATTTTACCTGAAAGACTTCATTTAATAATGACCATATATGTAAGACATGACAGATAGACAATCCTTCATGACATCACTCTCTTATAAGGGACTATCCTTACCAATACATATAATATTTCTTGCTGTTGGTGACTATGGTAAGTCAAACTTGTGATGCAAGGGAAGCAACTCTAAATGACCTAATGAGTATTGTACATTTTCTTGGTGAATGAACGACGTTCCCTCATCTCACTTTTTATGCATCAATCATGATAATAATAATAATTGGAGTTTCTTATATACCGCTTTATCACAACCTAGTTCGTAGGTCGTCTCAAAGTGGTTCACAAATTATTATCTGTGGTTATAGGGCCTTTACAACCGTCCAATATCTTTCTCAACTCCCTGGGGAGCATACAGCCGTTGCTGCCATTTCAGCACTCACAGCTATCATTCAACGATTCTAGCATTGGCCAACTACCTACTCATTTACAGCTGAGTAGACTGAAACAAGTTAAGTAAAGTATCTTGCTCAAAGATACAACACAGTGCATTGACATGACTCGAACCCGCAACACTTCGGTCACAAGCCCGACGTCCTACCACTATACTTCCTTGCCTCCTATAATGATGAATACAAAACCTTGGCCAAGTTCATAGAAAATTATACTGTAGGATTTAATAGATTAAAAGATTTAAACAAAACTATTTGAGCAAATTTAACACATGATTAATTAATTAAAGAAATGGATGAACCCAAACTTATGATATTTTGAATTCCATGATTAGTGACAACAGATAGGTAGCCCCATATTCTCTCCAATCAGAGTGTGTTTATTTCCTAGTATATATATAAATTGTTTGTTAGTTTGTTTGAGTTTTATGTACTTTTATAGCTATGGTCATTTAAGGACATGCAAGGTTTTGGTGGTGGAGGAAAGCCAGAGTTCCCGGAGAAAACCTACAGACCTGGGGCCAGTACCTTTCGACTGCCCCACGTAGGCCTCAAACCTGTGACCAGTGGTGGAGGGCTAGTGATCTTAGAAGGTCAGATGCCTTAACCACTTAACCACCGTGGCCCCTAAAACTTTGTATCTGAATCACCAAACTGAGGAAGGGGAGATAACTTACCACATGAATAGTATAACCATCTGCATGATAATATCATTAAGGATGAGGAAGGGGAGATAACTTACCACATAACTAGTACAACCATCTGCATGATAATATCATGAAGGATGAGGAAGGGGAGATAACTTACCACATGAATAGTACAACCATCTGCATGATAATATCATTAAGGACGAGGAAGGGGAGATAACTTACCACATGACTAGTACAACCATCTGCATGATAATATCATTAAGGATGAGGAAGAAATCCACCATTAAGTTGGCACGCTTTCCCATCTTACTCAGCATCATACCAAACGCAGTGCAGAAAGTAATGATTCCTGAAAGCACATATAAGTACTGTCATATCCTACACTTGTATATTTTGAAAGTCAAAACATGTGTTTTTTCGATAAGACTTAAACTAAGACCACTCTTCACACAAAATAGATCTGAAATCACAATTCAATTTAAAGAAAAAATCACTTTTGTACATTAATATAAAAAAACAATAAGAAATTCAATTGTTTATACATTATTTTTACATTATTTGATGAAATAATATATAAATACGGACAATGACACAAATTGAATTATATACATATTATTCAACTTGCACAGATTATTTATAAAAGGTATAGGTACAGAACATTCCATTGTATACATTCTTTAACAGTAAACATTACTTATAATCTTAATAACAACAATCATAATAATAATGCTTTCTTTGAAAATCAGTAATAGTTAATAATGAAAAAAATATTATTTTGAGGACTTTTTCATCTATAAAAACAATCCAAGAAACAATTTTACAAAACAAATCAGTAAGCCCTAAGATAGTTATATATATTTCGATGATTTTGACCTGAGGTGGCCTTGACCTACCCAGAACATTGATGCCGTTGTTGAAGGGTAGCTGCCTCTCTACAAAAACCTTTGACATTCTCACGCTTACTTCCGAATAATCTGAGAGATTTTTGTCAGTGATATTAACAATGGCTGCATTCAGCGACATGGCCAGAGTTTTGTTGACATGTTCCTTTGAAATGTTGAGTTGAACAAGATCTGATGTTCGTACCAGTAACGACTGGTTCACATTTTTGTTCACATCTATGTATTTTGTACGTTGGTGAGCAAAGCTGGCCTGTATCAAATTGGTTGGAAAAACGTTTCTGAAAGGAAAACAAAAATTGAAATTTTAAGATTTATCTAGATTCAAATGTTTAAAATATTTCATCATCCTACTCGCTTTTTGTTGTTTGTTCTATACTTCAAAGAAACAGTTAAAAAATACATTTGTAGAGGTCACTCTTTCATCACTGTGGTAAGGTTAAAGGTCACATTATTAACACATGGTGGTAAGGTCAAAGGTTACTCTATCATTACTAAGTGGCAAGGTTAAAGGTCACATTATTAACACTTTGTGGTAAGGTTAAACGTAACATTATTAACACTTTGTGGCAAGGTTAAAGGTCACATTATTCACACTTTGTGGTAAGTATTAAAGGTCACATTATAAACACTTTGTGGCAAGGTTAAAGGTCACATTGTTAACACTTTGTGGTAAGTATTAAAGGTCACATTATAAACACTTTGTGGCAAGGTTAAAGGTCACATTGTTAACACTTTGTGGCAAGGTTAAAGGTCACATTGTTAACACTTTGTGGTAAGTATTAAAGGTCACATTATTAACACTTTGTGGTAAGTATTAAAGGTCACATTATAAACACTTTGTGGCAAGGTTAAAGGTCACATTGTTAACACTTTGTGGTAAGGTTAAAGGTCACATTATTAACTCTCTGTGGTAAGTATTGAAGGCCACGTTATTAACACATGGTGGTAAGGTCAAAGGTTACTCTATCATTCCTAAGTGGTAAGGTTAAAGGTCACATTATTAACACTTTATGGTAAGGTAAAAGGTCACATTATTAACACTTTGTGGCAAGGTTAAAGGTCACATTGTTAACACTTTGTGGTAAGGTTAAAGGTCACATTATTAACACTCTGTGGTAAGGTTAAAGGTCACATTATTAACACTCTGTGGTAAGTATTGAAGGCCACGTTATTAACACTTTGTGGTAAGGTTAAAGGTCACATTATTAACACTTTATGGTAAGGTTAAAGGTCACATTATTAACACTTTGTGGTAAGGTTAAAGGTCACATTATTAACACTTTGTGGTAAGTATTAAAGGTCACATTATTAACACTTTGTGGCAAGGTTAAAGGTCACATTGTTAACACTTTGTGGTAAGATTAAAGGTCACATTATTAACACTTTGTGGTAAGGTTAAAGGTCACATTATTAACACTTTGTGGTAAGTATTAAAGGTCACATTATTAACACTTTGTGGCAAGGTTAAAGGTCACATTGTTAACACTTTGTGGTAAGGTTAAAGGTCACATTATTAACACTTTGTGGTAAGGTTAAAGGTCACATTATTAACACTTTGTGGTAAGTATTAAAGGTCACATTATTAACACTTTGTGGCAAGGTTAAAGGTCACATTGTTAACACTTTGTGGTAAGATTAAAGGTCACATTATTAACACTTTGTGGTAAGGTTAAAGGTCACATTATTAACACTTTGTGGTAAGTATTAAAGGTCACATTATTAACACTTTGTGGCAAGGTTAAAGGTCACATTGTTAACACTTTGTGGTAAGATTAAAGGTCATATTATTAACACTTTGTGGTAAGGTTAAAGGTCACATTATTAACACTTTGTGGTAAGTATTAAAGGTCACATTATTAACACTTTGTGGTAAGTATTAAAGATCACATTATTAACACTTTGTGGTATGGTAAAGAGTTAATCTATCATTGTTCTTTTGTAAGGTTGAAGGTCACTCTATCATATAGCTGTGGAAAAGATAAGGTCACCCTGTTCTCATTCTGTGGTAAAATAAAGGTCACTAAATCATCCTATCGGGAGAGTTAAAAGTAAATCACTTAATCATTAACATGTGGTAAGGTTAAAGGTCAAGATTAAACATTAATAAGATTTTTTTCAGGGTTTTGCTTGTTTGAGCACTTTTGATATATTTAATTTTATGTTTACTATCCCTCATTTCTGTTCCTTTAATCATCTCTCACATTGTAAATACTGTAATACTACAATTCATACATTCACATTTACTATGATACTTTTGTATAATCTTTTAGTGCATCATACATGTACTAAAATTATCTAGCACTTATTCTACTATGCACCAATCAAAAATGGCTAAATCTTTTCACCCTTTCAGGCTGTAACTCTTAGCAACTTGATGACATCACAGTTATTCTTTATTGTTCTAGTCACATGACCTTTAATTTCAATGTACCATACATATGTAGTTGCTAACATCATGTAACTGTGTTCTGAAAAAGGCCTCCCTTTGGCATGTCAGCACGTAGGATGTAAATCAAGCATTACATATTGTACCGGATTCAGTGGTGTTATGGCTGATCATTTCTATTTTCATTTGCTCTGCTTTCCCTGATGAACACAGTTGAATACCATTAATTGGTATCCACCCCAGGATTCCTACCCCCACTATGGAACTGAATTCCTTGCAGAGATGTTGGGTCTCCACCATCCTGTTGTTATTAATATGATTTAAAAATCTTAAACTTCACAGTGGAAATAATTGTGGGATGTGCCAATCCAAACAACTTTCGTCCTATTCACACATATATATATATCCAGACGATTGTGTTGATCTACCTTTACCTGTATTTAACAAGATTACCCACCTGATGAGGTCTAGAAATGCGTCAAGAGAGCTGACCCTGTCATCTCCCTTAGACGGTCCATCCTCTTTTGGAGGCATGAGGTTCTTGTCTCCAGGGTGGATGGACACGACCAGGATGATACCTAAGATGATGGCAGTAAAGGTTGTGCCGAAGTAGTAAATGATGGCACGTAGACCCATACGACCACTCGACTTGGCATCAATCGATGCTAAACCTGAAAAATAAAGAAACAGTGATGAATGCCAGATGCAATCGACAGTTTTGGGTATCTGTAAGTATGGCTGAGGTGGGGATGGAGGTGGGCAGAGGGGGCTAAGAAACACAAATATACACCAATACATACACATTAATTACAGGCACTATTTCCATAAAAAGTGGATTTTGTTTTAATCAGAAACTTGAAAAACAGCAATAAGCACCCACTTGCACTGAAATTGATCTAGGTATGTTGGAAGTATGAAGAAAAAAATGCAATGGGTTTACGATATTATGATCCAAAAAAATGCTCTAAGCTCCAAAATATTAATGGTTTTGGCCATTTTCCAAAACAACTAAAAATTTCTTGAAATCAGAAAATATCAAGATGCATCCCTCTTAAATGTGACTGACTTATGTGGAAAGGTTGAAAATAAAATCTTGAAATTTTTAGATATGTTCTGGAAACACAAATATGCCCCAAAATATACAAAACATTGTGAAACACAAATATGCCCAAAAATATACATAACTTGGATATTGTTTCCAAGAAAACATAAAATTTCTTGAAATTACAAACTTAGAAATATCTAACACTACCCTTATACACTTTATCTGACACATGCGGAAAGTTTGAAGATAAAATCTGAAACAATTTTTGCTTGGATGGAGGGACAGACAGATTCTTGTTCGCATGTCACTCGCCAAATTCCTGAGATGGGGATTTAAAATGAGAAACCTCCCCTTCTCATCCCTGCCACCTTAAAGATTTAGCTCGATAATGTGACAGCCACATTACTGGTGGGAGTAATGTTCCTTGCCTGTATTGTACTGAACATATGTTTATATATACCTGTGATCATGCATGACACGATGAGAGGAAAAATCAACATTTTCAGCATCCTCATCAAGATGTCTCCGGGGAATGCAATCAGCATCTTTGCTTGATCGGAAGGTTCTACAACTCTGAGTGCAAATCCGAGGATGAGACCCATACACACTCCAGCTATAGTTAGGATAAGTAGGAGGTTGTCCTTTCCCCATGATCCTGCCTGATGTGGAAAACATAATACCATTAACACTCAAAAGTCAATAACAAAAATAAAAGTTAAGGGGAAGCAATTGCTGTGAAACCTGCTTTATTAAGGATATATGTTACTTTGCTGTAATATGACCTTCTTTCCCGAAGAGTTCTACGTTGATGATTAAGGATACTTGCACCACTGCCAAAAACTGTAACTATACTCATAGGAAACTATTTTTCTGCATGACTATAGCTTTGATAAATCAGTTCTGAAAAGAAAACCATACCCTAGCTGTGGGACTTTAATAAAAACTAATTAAGATGAAAGAAACAGACCACAATCAAGTACAGTATTCTGAGAGTAAAACAAATAAAGGACCGGGATTCAAACCCTGGACTTCAAATTGTTCTACATGTACTATCGTTCTAACCGACTCAACCATCTTGTCAATTGAACAGTGCTTCAGTTATATTCAAAACAAAATTAAGGGGAGATTACTTCATATATGAAAAAACAACAGTGCAGTGGGACAGGGATCCTTAAGTAATTTTTTAAAATTAAGGATCCCTGTCCCACTGCTGGCAAAGCACTAGAGAATTCCACTGTTGTTTTTCGTACATGCAGTAACCTCCCCTTCAATTATAGTTACAACTGTAGTGTGACTGGGCCAGGCTACTAACATTGACCGGATAGGTCGATTGACTACAGTGGCAGTATAATGATCGGAGGTCCAGGGTTCCAATATTGGCATGACCTCATTGCGTTTTTACTCCCACAGCATTTTTGTTGATTATTTTTTGTTTATTTCATCTTTATTACTTTATTCACTTAAGCCCCGCAAGGTATGGTTTTCTTTACAGAAATCATTATTCAAATCTATAGTCATGACGGGGTAATATTTTCTGATGTATAGTTCCAATCTTTGGCAGTGGTACAAGGATCCTACAGTGGTAATATCATAATAATATGGGATAAGTTATTCATTAGTTGGTACATATTCAAGTTGCACATGAATTCTAGATTTGATAATATATCTCTTTGGTAAATATTAAGTTACACATGAATTCTAGATTTGATAATACATTTCTAGAAATTTGAATCGGTAGATGAAGCTTATCTAAAAGTGTTTGTTTAAGGTAAACAGTACCATCAGGTTGAAACAAATTATTACCACTGGCACTACAGTGTATTATGATTTTTTTCTTTATTTTTTTTTCTTCAGATTTATTCCAAATAAAACACATTTTGTGATGCATTTAACAGAATAACACTTGTTCAAAATTTGAGCGTTTAAAACAAAATTAAAAAAAAAGAATATATCCTTAACTGTGACACAAATAACAGATATAATGCATCAATGACAGTTGTAAGTAAGGAAATATTTAACTGAAAGTCAAACACAAATAACAGGTGTAAATACATTTGTAGAGGTTACTCTTTCATCACTGTGGTAAGGTTAAAGGTCACATTATTAACACATGTCAAACACTGTATTGTGTAATATAGCATATAACCTAAACCACTTGTGCAATGTGTATGTAGGATATGGCCTTAACTTTCAAACAAATTACAGGTATAATGTGTAAGGTAGTATATACCCTTAACTCTAACACAAATTCATAAAATCCAGCGGAAGATTTTGAACATAAACTATATGTATTTGTTTATTACAATGTACATGTAATTTACTTCTTTCAATTGTTAAATTTGATATTATTTGTCTATGTCATCAATGTACATGTAATTGACTTCTTTCTACATCATCACTTGTATAATGAAATATTTTGTTGATAGGAGATGGCTTCATACATTGCTATAACTTGTGCCAAATCCTTTGTACCTATTTTGGACAATAAAATATGTTTGAAGTCAAAGTCAAGAGTTGATATTACATTTTTTTAAATCACTTGAGGAGTACAACACTATGGTTGGGTGGGGCTGTGCATAGCTTACTCATCTTTCACCATGACAGCTGGGTTTTGATTTCCAGTTGACAGGAAAAGGTATTCAAACACCTGCATGACCGTATCGGCTACCTCTGGGTAATTCAGTTCCCCCCCACATTAAGACCCCCTCCACACTACCATCCAGGCCAACAATTGTGATTGATATACATCGATAGAATTTGTTTCATGATTGTTGTAAAATACATAAAATATCCTTTTCAAAAGTACATCAAGCAAGAGGTTCAGAGCACCTGCAACACCCACCTGGATAATTATTATGTTTAACTCATTCACCACTGAAGACACATTTGAACTCTTCCAATTCAAAGGATGGAACAGTCTCCATTAAGAAATTTCAGGGGTGAAGGAGTTAAGCTATAGGCATACTGTAGACTAGATCAGCTTAAACCACTGAAAACTTCCACAAATTGCTTGTTAATTGATTATGCTTCTGTATGTCAACATGTTAGCTGTTATATGCACAGCATTGATATGACAGATACGACTTTAGACTTTTTGCATTTTAAGATATTTGACGACTTTCGCTTTCCTTGACTTACTGTCAAGGTGAAAGTGGTAAAATATCATAAAATAAAAAAAGATCAAAGTTTTACCAAACTAAAATAGATTTCTAAATCTTTAAACTCGTTATTGCCCATATTGAATTTTGATCTCTACCAGCACTCAAAATTGTCATTTGAATTCCACACAACAATCCCTCAGAGAAAGATCTATATCATCTTGTTTAGAGAATGTTGTTTAATGAAGTTTTCAGCATTACTAGCCATCGTGACCTTAAAATTAAGTCTATATGAGGAAACTGAACATCCATCACACCCAGGAAGCTGCTTACCGAATATCATGACCTTAAAAGAAAATCATTGAGAAACTAGAGAAACTGCAATTGAGCTCACAAAGGTATATCCCCCCTTCATTTTATCTAGGTATTCAAACGATGTATGCAGAGGGTATAGTACCTGAATTGCAATTCTCTTCTTTAATGTACATCTACATATGATGTACTGTGCCAAGTTACAAAAAAATCCAAAACAAACAGTTACGGAGGAGAGCTTACCTGGTTTCTGCTAAGTTTCACAATTAAAAGGTACTACTATTCACAAGGTAGCCTAGTTGGTTAGAGCAACAGTATGATAGTCAGTCTCGCTCCGGTTACATTTTTAAACACCGAACAACACTGTTGTTGAATTTATTTTATTTCATCTTTATCACTTTTCCATATAAGCTCTGCAAGGGTGGGGCCGCGGTGGCCAAGTGGTTAAGGCGTCTAACATTCTGCTACCACTAGCCCAACCACTGGGTCGCAGGTTCGAGACATCCGTGGGGCAGTCGCCAGGCTCTGGCTGTAAGTTGGTGGTCCTCCTCCGCCACCAAAACCTGGCACATCCATAAATGACCACAGCTTTTAAAAGGACGTAAAATACAAACAAACCAAAGTATGGTTTCCTTTTCAGAAATGATCAAATCAAAATTATAAATCAAGCTGGCAGCATGGCTCCAATGCGTTGTTAGCTTTTGGCACTGATACAAGAGTCTTTAAACAAACTTTACCCAAAACAAAAGCTGCTTGTTTTGGATTTTAGTCAGACCACACATTTTGTTTGTTCATTTTAGTTAACCAAATAGAAAACTATCAACAGTACACAAACGTAAGTATTTTTCAAATGTGTCTGATGGAGAACACACACTGAAAATAGTGTCCTGGAGTCACAAGCCTTAGTGTATATATACACACAAGAATGCATGTAAGAAACAGTAGACACATGTCTTGTTTACACAACATTCCAAAATATACATGTACACGTGCAGGTGTCAATACTTTTTCTCACAGTTCTACGTAAGTAAGATACACATGTTCCCTATGGAACGTTCATGTGGGATTATATAAGTCTCCTTCAAGCCCAGGGGTGAAGGTAACCTACATGCATATGATACTGTTTTTATTGTATACCCTTTCTACTAGTTATTCTTTATATATGTGACAGAGATCATTATTTTTTCAATGCCTCCGCTAGGAGTCGAACCCGGACCTCTTGTTTACTTGTCTTACACTATACTGAATGAGCTAAACAGAAATTCTCCCTAGCCGAGTCTGTAGGAAGCTGCTAGTATTTTACCACGGTGACATATATAAGGTGGTTATGATTTATATTAAAAAGTAAGATTTCATGAAAAATGTGAAAAGTAAAATTTCATGAAAAATGTAAAAAGTAAAAAAGTAAATTTCATGAAAAATGTAAACAGTAAAATTTAACGATTTTTTTTCTTGTCAATTATGCACACGACCGCAATGGTAAACAATCTATACAACAGTAACAGTGACTGCGGTGAGAGTCTCTGATGACTATCACAGAAGGAATGTGAGGTTTGTAATTGGCCTGTCATTTGTGTTAAATTATTTACAAGTGTAAATAAAGTGGGCACACTCCGATAGCCATCAGCATATCCCAGATATACTTCTATCGTAAAATATTATTTATTGCAAGAGGATCAATTGCATTTACAATTTCTTTCACATCACAATTTTATTTTTTTTAAAGTGACTTTGTTAAAGTAGTCATTTCCCTACAGATATCGCAGAAAAAATGATAAATTGCAGTATTTCCAGTACGTTAAAAAAGATTTGAAAATACGAATAGAACGTTTTATTCCCTTCCTGCGTACATCGATCAGTATTTAGATTTCAACATGTTTCCTCCGTGATTCTGATCAATGGCTTTTTTAAGCAAGATTACAACTATAAAGTACAAATCACATGACACATGCATTGGTGGGTTTCTAATTCTAAACACAGTTGTTGCGATTGCCGAGATCCAAGTGATTTATCCAGGAAACACCTATTACACAAGAGGATCACTATCCCTGTGGGAAATCTTACAAACGTGACAAACGCCACACGAAACAAACTACATTTACTAAAGTGAAACTGACAACCAAAATGAATTCGCTGTATTTTGTGAACTCTGGCACATTAGTGAGCCTCTATGTCACACATTGCCTCCGAGATCGACGGCTTACAAGGGAGTAATGATTGTTCGACAATTGTCAGGAAACAAATCCAAT